ATAGGCAATCCTTAATCCAACTGGTTCAAGTTCTAGTTGCGACGACTTTAGGCAGACAGTTTATGTACTGCCGCCAGGCATCTAAGCCATGCAATGAACATTCACCTTTTTAATGTACTGATGTGACCGTGCAGCATATATTTGATAATACCAACATTCCGAAGACAGATAATAATTGGTCATAATATTGTTGTAAGTTAAGGTCATCCTTTGCCCGAGAATAAATATTTCGTTTATATAATATTTTTTAGGGACCCTAATCATTAAAGGTTACATATATTACACCAGTTTACAAAAAAAAAATGTATGAAATACGTACTTCATGAAACCTTTATTTTCTGGTAAGGTACATCTTTCTGATTAAGAAAAGGGCACTTACAATTTTTTGTATGGTACCAATTTTTTTAAAGTGTAAAAAAAACGTTTTTGACGCTGTTTTAATTTCTAACTCGAGCTGTGACTAACCGATTTCGGTCATCGAAGATTTATTTTACAGGTAATAGAATGCGCTCTTACTTCTTATACACAGCATTGAGATCCATTTATTATTTTGGAAGCTACAATTTGTCAAAGTTGAAAAAGTTGGAAAAATCGCAAAAATGCTGGCATAAATGGCTTCGTAATAAAATACACGCCTAAAAACCGAAATTAGTTTTATAACCCCACCCCATTTAACGCTCAGAAATTATCTATCCCCAACCCCCGCCTCCAAAAAGGATTTCAAGAACACTAATAACAAACTTCTCACTTTCCCGCTGGGCGTCCCAGCGAAAAATGCCTAGAATACCTATACTTAACCTTTAATGATTACGGTCCCTGAAATTGTTTATTTAAACTAAATATTTATTCGAGGGCGAAGTATGATCTTAACTTGCAACGAAATGTTTACCAATTTTTAACTTTCTTCGGTATGGTATTATCAAATATATCATGCAGGGTCACATCAATCTTAAATTGATTGGAAAAAGTGAAAATAGTTAATTTTATTTTCATTTATTAAAAGCTAATCTTTGGTATTTTATTAAAACCAAAATAAACAATAAAAAGGTGAGTGATAAAATAAATGTTGTCTTTTAATAATCTTCATTTCAGCGTTACAGCGGTTAGGCCATTATTAAATATAAGCCTCCAGATGCTATCTTCAACACAAATTCTGCATTTCAGTGTCACTTGAAATGTTTTTAGTTTTCACCAGTGGTAAATGGTGTTCGGTTGAAAGGGATGAATTAAGTAAAACAACCTTTTCAGTTGAGTTCTGTATTAAAACTCAGTATTTATTTTCAAAGTCCCTGCATAGGAAACTAACATGAAATTCTTATTCTGATCTTATCTGTGGCCTACGCAGAGGCCGCGTCTGCCTGAGCGGGAGAGTTATCATTTGACCCCCGCACAGGAACCCTTGGTGCAGCGTGAGAGACATCTCAAGTGATTATTTTCGGCTAGGCTCAAGTGGCCTGCACTTAGAGATTACAAGTGCTAGCACCGCTCCCTTGTAGAGTTTACAATTACAGATCATAGTTTATGGCTCTAGATAGATTTACATATTGACACATGACATGGACAGAGCTCATAAAATCTTATACTTTATTTATCAGTGTTCGTCTGAACATCGGTGTTCTTTAAATGGTTGTATGAATAGTACATCTTTGTTGAACTTAATCAAAATATTACATTTATTTCAGCCAGGCCGATTGAGACTTCTTGGGACCAGAACTGTTGCGCCTGCATTTATCATATTTAATTTTTTCTTCTAATAGTTTTTGATATAGATAACCGACATAAAATAGCTGCTCAGAGGGTACATGATCGGCCATGGCAAACCAGGCATAATTTCTGGAGAGATCTGTTCAACAAGAACACTTTTTATAATAAATCTAATACTTTACGAGTTCAGTACATGTCAATATGTTAATTGATCTAGAGCAGCGGTCGGCACACACATACAGTGAAATTTTGTTTTATGTTTGTGTGGGTGATTTGCACGGGGCAGCTCATTGTTGTGTGTGTGCAGACCGCTGTTCTACACTGTACGTGAGCGACAGAGAATGAGCAGAACAATTCCCTATGCTCATTTAATTGGACTCTGCCGACCGCTGATCTAGAGTCGTAAATAACGATCTGTAACTCAAACCCTACAAGGGTGCAGTGCTAACACTTGTAATTTTAAGTACAGGCCACTTGAGATTGACCATAAATATAGTTCTCACACTGCACAAAGGGTCGCCTTGCAGGAGACCGTTGCTAAGGCTCCCGCTCAGGCAAACAGATGTGGATAAGTGAATTATAAGAATTTCATGTTAGTTACGTAAGCAAAGACTTATTTAAATAAAATCAGTTTTTATACAGAACTCAAACGTGAAGGTTGTTTTCCTTATTACAGGATTCCCTTTCAAGATCCTTTAATTTTGTACGGAGACGTAATAATGGCAATTACTCTTATTATTAATCCTGGTCTTACATTTACATCTAATTATTTTTAATATTTTTAGAAGATAGGCTTACAATACATGGATACCTAAGACCTGCAATCGGCCAAGCAAAAACCGGGAATGCTTCCAATGCAATACCAGCCGATCAGATTTTGTGTAAGAAAATGACCAATATAATTTATGCCAAAGTTTTAAACAATTCGGGCAAGTAGTTTTTTTTTACCCTCGAGTGCCATCCCCAGATTAGTTCATTCCTTTAAAAAAAATTCGTTGATCAATTTACTAAAAGCGTATACCGCCGACTCGATGCGGTTTTGCCTTAGTTTTCGGTAATTTAAGTTTTAATTGAAGGCTTTACTCGAAGTCGATCTATTTTGATGAGCTTTGCTAAGAGAGCACAAAAGAACGCCTTACTTTTTTTATAGGTTTTAGTGAACAAATGTACGTAAAAATCCAAATTTGTAAAACATTTTTTTGTAATAATTTGATTATAAAAACAAGAGAGAACGCTATAGTCGAGTGCCTCGACTATTAGATACCCGTTACTCAGCTAAACAACTTAATAGAAATATGCCTTCTTATATGTTTTTCGCCGCTCGATTTTTACCCAGGGATCTCTTTCTAGAAGAGGCTTTCTAGAACTTTCAATTCTGCCTAGCACATCTTCCGTCTCTCTCTAGCGCAGGTAAATGCACTTGTGAAAAACGTATACGAGCAAAAAGAGACAAAATGCGCGCCCCATTTCAAATAATTTAAAATTTGCATTACTCTACGAGTAACGGGTATAATCAGTTGAAGAAAGTTGCAGTTTTTAACGGTTCATAAATCTTAAACGACATAATATTTTTACTGAGGTTAATTATACCCGTTACTCGTAGAGTAAAAGGGTATATTGTATTCGTGCAAAAGTATGTAACAGGGAGAAGGAAGCTTTTCCGACCCTATAAAGTATATATATTCTTGATCAGGATCACTAGCCGAGTCGATCTAGCCATGTCCGTCTGTATGAACGCTGAGCTCTCGCTGAGATACAAAAGCTAGAAGGTTGAGATTTCCCACACATATTCTTGAGCTTCCTACGCAACGCAAGTTTATTTCAGCTGAGCGCCACGTCCCCTCTAAGGCCCACAATCGCCCACTTACGATTTCAAAATGTGTCTGACGCCCACACCTTTAAAGATTTTCGAGAAGTATAAATGTAATTTTGTTGTTATATCTATCGAAATGTAGAAGACATTTTTTAAATCGGACCATTCATTAAAAAGTTATGCGCAATCAAAAAAATGTTATATATCCATCTCCCTCGCACTCCCTTTAGCTGAGTGACGGGTATTAGATAGACGAGACTCCAACCCGACTATAACGTTCTCTCTTGGATTTAACCCTTAGGTCAGTAGGGGAGAGTGGGGGAATTTCGTCAGCATTTTTTCAAAGCTATTTTTTGTCCATCTTGAGACACGTTATCATATATCTATTTTTATTGTTGAATGCGGTTAGCACCAAGCTTAAAAATGTCACATTCCCCTATTTTTTTAATTACCTTGGTGATTTATAAAAAAATAAAATGTAAAACCAATATACTGAGGCAATTTCGCCACACAGGGGGGTAAAATCACCACACCACCGGGGCAAAAAAAAAAATGTAGGGAGTTTAACGCCTGTAAATATGCTACACTGATCAAGCGTACCATTTTTGTTGACGTCCTATATTTGTTGCTGCTGCTGGTAGTCTGTTCGTTAGCCAGCTCGTCAAATATAAAAATATGTATTTAAAATAGGTGCGACTTTACCCTTAGCGTAGGGTGGCGAAATTTCCCCAGACAGTACTTTTTTAGAAATAATTATTTTTCTTCCGAAATTAGGCGCAAAGTTAAAAATCACTGACGCAGAAATGCACATTATAGCACTGTGTATTATATAAAAAATCGTGTATCTTATTCCTTTTGAATTGTGGCATACAGAAGAAATTTCGTCGAGAACTAAATGTAGCTTTTGAACTGTTAAAACACATTTAATATTATAGCTTAATTATCTTGGCCTTCTGTGCAAAGCAAATGCATTGGTTGTGTCTGGCCGTCTTGAAGGACTAAAACAAAAAAATTATATATTTTTACGACTTATGGATTCCGAGATATTGCAGGTGACGAAATTGCCCCTGTGACGAAATTCCCCCACTCTCCCCTACCTCAAATAGTCCTGAATACATGCAAATAAAATTTTCTTCAACTTTTAATTTATAGCCAATTTTTAATTTAAATTTTTAAATCGCTATATTATTCAACCGCGAGCTAAGCCAGAAGAACGCCATATGGGGTTTAATCGTATTGATGAGTACTTTCAGGTTTTGAAATCCAAAATGCAGTTACATTTCAAAACCATAAAAATGTTGCACAGTGTAATACATATACAAATAGGCAGTTGTCGAGTATCAAGTAAAGGACCGTTCACACTTATATAAGTTTCATCAAGGTGCCACGACCCATCTAACGCCCACAAGTTGCAAAAAACCATACCATAGATGGCTAAATTTATTTATTTTTCATTGGATATACTATTATTTGCATTACTCACCGGGGAAATATTTTTATTAATTAGACATGGTTTGTCTTCACTGTTTGAACAATCTGAGCTCCAGGTCCACTTTTCCTGTAGATGATTGCCCGATGGTCCATCAACGGTATTAAAGTTTGTAAAGCGTTCATTAATGCTGTTGCATTTTGAATTCCGGTTAGAAGTTTCAAAATTAGATTCTATAATTATCGAACGGCTCGGAGGAGAAAGTATAATGTTAGGGGTGTCCCAAGATATTGCTTGCTTAAGACCTTCATGGTTAAAATTGTTATGCTTTATTTTTTCGCCTTTTAGCTCTTCGAGCTGGTTAAGTAGGACCCGCTTAATTTCCGCAACCCATTTTTGTTTTACACACGTTGTGGGTGCCTGTAAGGTGTAAACTTCCTGGCGTCCCTTAAGCCAAACTTCAAAGCGCTTTGTATCGCCTCGCACAGACTCAGTCAAGCCAATTTGTGACATCTGTAAATGTACATGTTAAAATATAATTCAGAAAATTGTTTAATATATTTTATTAGAAAACAAGAGAGAACGCTGTACTCGGGTTCGTGTCCCGACTATAATCGTAGCTCAGCTAAAGGGAGTGCGAACGCTGTACTCGGGTTCGTGTCCCGACTATAATAGTAGCTCAGCTAAAGGGAGTGGAGGGAGATAGATATATGTAGATATTTTGATTGCGTATAACTTTTTAATGAATGGTCCGATTTGAAAAATGTCTTCTACATTTCGATAGGTATAAATATACACAACAAAATTGCATTTATACTTCTCGGAAATCTTTAAAGATGTAGGTGCAGGACAAATTTTAATATCCTTAGTGGGCGATTATGGGCGTTAGAGGGGGCGTGACGCTCGGCTGAAAACCTGTGTGTGGAAAATCTCAACCTTCTAGCTTTTGCAGTTTCCGAGATCTCAGCGTTCATACAGACGGACAGACGGACATGGCTAGATCGACTCAGCTAGTGACCCTGATCAAGAATATATATACTTTATGGGGTCGGAAACGCTTCCTTCTAACTGTTACATACTTTTGCACGAATACAATATACCCTTTTACTCTACGAGTAACGGGTATAATTATATTGTTATTCTAGACGCATTCCAAAAGCACATATTTTAACATTTTGCTTAATGTATGTTTAAAGGTAATGTCAAAGCCAAAGCTCGCAAATAACTGTTGACCGATTCGTGCGGTCCCCAAATAAGTGTTTTTTTCTCAGACTTTGTGCAAAGAATCAAAGACAAACCGATTGAATTGTTCGTACAAAAATATTGCTCGCACTCAGCCGATGAGCAGTTGTTTCGGCTTTCTTTTGCTCGGCTCGCTTACAACAGACTAAAAGCCGAACCATCAGGCAGCCGACGGAACTACTTCGTGTAGTTGTAATCGGGAAAAGACCGTTTGCGATGCCCTTTTTAGTCAATCGCTGTGCAGAGCTCAACATACAGCGTGGTTACAAGGAAAAAGCAATCGCGATCCTTTCGAACAGCCGATCAGCAATAACTGCAATATACAGTAACAAAGTGACCTCAAATATAGTCTTAGAGGTAAAGAATAAGCTAAATCTATTGGGCAGTCAAAATAGGCTGGCCCTCAGATGGATTCCGAGTCATAGGGACATATCCGGAAATGAAACTTCCGATAAAATTTCAAAATTAGGGGCCGAACAGCCCCTGATAGGACCAGAACCAAACTGTGGCAAATAAAGACACACAATAAAATAATACTTTAGAAAAGAGGAAGGCACCAAGAGGAAGAACACTGGATAAGTACTCCAAGGCAAGCCAAAGATAACTATAACAAGAAGAGGTTCTTCCCTACTCAACTAGTCATCTAGGTAAAATAGGAATAACCAGCAGTATGACCTGCAGATTCTGTGATATGGAGGACTGTCCAGACTGTCCAGCCTTAACAAATGTAATAAGCAGAATCTTAGGATTCAGAACTCTATCACATGAGCTCTTAGGAAGTATCAACCCATCAAAACTCCTCGACTTTGTTTGAGAAAATTAGTTGATATCTGAGCTGTAAGCTCTGAATGGGGCTACAATAGATCTGAACAGGTAGCGGTACACTTGACACCCCAATTAAATTATTATTATTTCAACTTTTAACTGATACCCATTATGATTTTTCAACGGATTTATTTCGAGTTTTTACGATATATACAGCCGACTTACAGTTGCCCAAAAAACACATTATTCATCTTTGTCGAGCTGCTGCGTTGCATTACTTTATAATCATATTAATCTGTAGGGGAGAGTGGGGTGATTTCGTAAGCATTTTTTCAAAGCTATTTTTTGTCCATCTTGAGACACGTTATCATATTTCTATTTTTATTGTTGAATGCGGTTAGCACCAAGCTTTAAAATGTGACGTTCCCCTATTTTTTTAATTACCTTGGTGATTTATAAGAAATTAAAAAGTAAAACCAATATACTGGGGCAATCTCGCCACATAAAGGGGTAAAGTCGCCACACCACTGGGGCAATTTCGTCACCTGAAAAATGTAGGGAACTTTACGCCTGTAAGTATTCCATACAAAAAAAATTTGAAAAATTTAACCTTTTGATTTTCGAAATCCCAAATTTTCGAAACTGGACGTGGCCAAAAAAAGTAAATGGTTGTCAAACGTGGACAAACGATTCCCATATTCAAAATTCGAAATTTTAAATTTACCCGACCCAGCTTCTCTGAGCTCTGTATTTCGATAACTTGATTGTAGTGCAACCACGTCGGCTGGTCTCTTGTCGATATCCGATGGAATGACTTGTTGTATTTAGCCTTGGCCAGCAAAATAAGCTATAAGGTTTCGCTGATACCTTTGTCGATTTTATGGCACACGCTCTGCCAGGGTGCTGCGGAAACGCTCCACCTGTGCATTCGAGATGCTAACGCCGAAGTGGTTTCCAGCACGGCTCATTATCACAATAGACGACTCTAGCTTTGGGAAAGACGTTCAGGAGTTGTAATAGGGCCGGTTTAAGATGCACTATGGTCCTAGAGGAAATTATCTGGACCATGGCAAACATTGTCAACGCACGTAAGGAAGTATTTTTCATCTGTGGAAAAAATGCTTACACAGAAAAAAAAATTGATATTAAATTGCACTCAAGTTAACATTATTTCATATCAAATTTGGGCCGATATTAATTAATGCAACATTGATATTTCGAACATATCAAGTTGATATTTTCTAGAATATCAAGTTCATATTTTTAAATATCAATTCAATCTTAAGAAAGATTAATTTTTAAAATAACATTTGAATTTTGCGGTCTCGATATCAGATAAAAATTGAATAAGAATAAGAAAATAAAAATTGGGGAACCGGGAATTATCCCTGTTGCATAAGTTCCTGTTTCTCAACTTGTTCTTACATAAACTACTTTTAGTTGCAGATTTTATCTGAAATAATAACTGAATTTATTGTATAATTAACAAATTATGAATATAAAAATCAAATAACTTACTAACTTGAGAAAAACATCTTGGTCGCTCGTGGGAATCGAACCCCTTGCATCACAGTTTGCAGTCAAACACTCTACTAGCTGCGCCAGGGGAGCATCACATGAGGCGCTGTACAAAGTACATTCATATTTTGTTCTCTTGGGTTCGAGGTTTTTACTCTTACTTAACCATTTATGTGTGTGTTACATAAACTAAACCAAACCAAAAAAAAACTTTCGCTCTTTCAGTGAACGGTCGTGTTTTTGTCTTGCGCTCCGAATTTTTGTTCATTTTGTCCATAAACCATCGGGGTTTAACTCGAATTTTCTAACATTTAAATAGCTTTTTATGTCACTAACAACATCCGTTCGCTTCGCGAGTGCATAGTGATTGTTTTGTGTTTAAATTAACTAAATTAGTTTGCACGCCCAGTCTCTGTGCAGTGTTTGTTGTTATTATTTTATCTTATTGCATTCTCCTTTTCTACCAAACGGTGTTTGGAGCGGTAAGAATCTATACGGTAGTTACCCGCTCTCCCGCACTCCCGCATAAAACGTTGTTGTTGGCACAGCTAAAACTTGTGCTCCCCCGCTTACTCACTCCCGCTCACTCTCTTCCGCTCTCTCTTACTCTCGTAGCTTTTTTCTCTTTGCACCGTGGTTCGGAATATAGCGATAATGGCTGTCTGTTGTTCGAAGAAATGCAAGTCGTTGATTTTGGCTGGACAACAGAGCATTCCGTGCCATTCGTGCGATAGTATTTTTCATGCAAAATGTCTTGGCTATTCGGGCCTGGTTCGCGATGCAATCGACATGAGAAGTGGCTTGCGCTACTATTGTGAAGAATGTATTGCGTATGAAACCCAGGCAATCTCTATAAGACGGCTCACAAAAAGCACTGTAACGGAATTAATTCGTAACAGCCGTAGAAATACGGATCTGCTTGTGGCGCTTTAGTCGCAGCTCACTAGCCGTATGCTATCTGAGCCCGATTCTTCTAAGCGTAAAAAGTTCGCGGTCGATAGACAACCCACGGAAGACGCTAGTGCATCTCTCTCTGGCGATCCGGGGTCTGCAGCACAGCAGTCGATCTCAGCTGCCGCACAAATGGTACTGAGGTCGAAAGCTAAAAAAGATTCGGTATCCGAATGTAAAGATCGTGAGATTTTGCCGCATGAGACATCCGAAAAATCTGTTAAAAAAAATAAAGAAATGACTCCAACGCCGCATGTTGACTTAACGTCTGGAGTACCGACTGGAACTGGTAGTGCAGCCATAAATGCTGCAGTACTAAAACCTGTCACATGCGTGGTACCTAAAACAGTCACCTGTGTACCGCAGCGGAAACAAATTTTTGTTTCTCGGCTGAATCCTCACCTTTCATCCCTGGACATTACGGCCTATATCCGTAACAAAGTTCAGATTGATGATCTAAAGGTTGAACGATTTAATTTTCCATATGCTAGGGAAGTATCATCATTTAAGATCGGAGTTCCCTGTGCTCATTTTGCAACGATGTGCTCACCCAATTTTTGGCCTGCAGGCATTTTTGTTAAAGAGTACGAAGCTAGAAAAAAGAAAATTCGTTCAAAGGAAGTTGGAAATCCCTTTAAAGAGCCATCCACATCTTCATCTGTATCTGTCTCAAAAAACTAGATTCTTTCCTTCTGCTTTCCTATCAGGATAGCAGAGGTTTACAAAGTAAGTTGACCAAATTGTATACTGATAGTTTTTCCTTGTCTTCCCATGTTATTGTGTTCACAGAAACTTGGTTAAAACCGGAAATTCTTAGTTCCGAAGTTTTTTCAAGTAAGTTCACAACGTACAGGCTTGATCGTCCCTCCCGACGAGGAGGTGGAGTTTTAATTGCCGTCAACTCAGAATTAACGTCTGATGAAATAACGTCCGACGAAATAATGGACATTGAATTTCTGTGTATAAAACTATCCCTTCAGGGTATTTCTATATACATAACATGATCTTATATTCCGCCGTCATCTGAATTCCCAATA